AGTTACAACTGAAGAAAAATATTTGGTGTTCATCTGGTGGGTAAAACAACAAGTAAAATTCCCATGATGTAAGCCTCTGAAAGAAAATATAAGAAACATGAAAAACTAAATGGGAACTGTCAATAGATGCTACTTGAATAAGAAAGGATGGAAAGGTCAACAGAATGAAGGAAAGGAGAATTACTGGAGCTCTCCCAACATAACTGCCAAGGCAGAGCCCACCCCAGACTCAATCTTCATGGGTGCTTTAGAAAAATGTTATGGCTAGGGAGCACAAATGCTTAATAGGGATCTAATATTCTTTGGTCTTCTCTCCAAAATACTTCTTGATAAAATAATCTCACTTTGTATTTGAGGGGACAGAATGAGAATCAGGAAGGGATAATACAAACAAATCTCCAGTACCTGAGGGTGACCTTTTTTCTCCACCACAAACATACACACCTCTTGACAAACCTTTCTAAGAAGACAATCAGTCAACATCTATAAGAGGAACTGCAAGATAAAAACAGGACTTCCCTTGTCACAAATAAGACATCTGACTGAGTTTACGAGTCATTTTGTGTAGAGGTGTGTCAAGCTCCACCTTTACAGCATTTTATGTCTCAGAAGCTGGGAGAGCTCAATGAAAGTGATAGTTTGCTGCAGCTTCAGTGGGACACACTTTTGGCCTTCCTGTCATTGGAATATAGGTCTCCCAAAGGCAACAAACTGCCCTGATGATTTCCAAAAGCTCATTTTCAGGACATCAGATTCTGCGTCCCTAACCTCTAGCGAGCCTAAGGAGTTGCCTCGTCAGCTTTGAAACGTTCAGTGCAGACAGCCACGAGAATGCTTTCAACATGAGAGCTTTCAGCAACACAGACCCAATTTGAAAGAGTTCCTCATTCTTTTCGAGCAGAATTACACATTTAATGGAAAGGAGACTAGCAAATCCTTCCAGAACAGTTAATAAGCTTTTCCTTCTAAGGAAGGCACCCTGTTTCCATTCACAGTTCTGTGTAGTCATGTGTTTGGTCATATGTTGCTAGACAGCTGATGATGAACATAGATTTGACAACTTAGTTTACTGTCATCCACTCTGGGTACCCCAGGGTCCTTTGTAGCTCTGGTCCAGAATATTTTTTTTTTTTTTCTGTGCCTTGGAACTGTGAGCTACTTCTTTTCTTCTTCAGGAGGTCAAGGCAGAGCACTTCGGTTGGTTAAGATGAAATTCTGGCAGGATCAGTTAGGACTCAAGGCAGGCAGACCAGAGGACAAAAGTGTTGTCGCACTACTTATAGAAGGTCCAGATAATTAATGCTGCCCAGTCCAAAAGCCTGGGAGTATTTTAACACTGTAAGGAAACACTAGCAATTCTTTGTTTCTGCATATGAAGAGCTGTGTGCATATTAAGTTCATCTTGAACTAGTAATGAGAAAATCCTTTGTTGATATAAACCAGATTAATTCAGTAGACTTTCTTTCAGCAGTTAACTTAATCCATTGGGAATTGGTGGCCCTATCAGGAAGCCTTGCTGTCATATGTCCACCCTCCTATTCCTTCTACAAGACCTTTCCTCTCAAATTGCATCTGGGTTCAGTTGTTGGTGCAATGCTATGTCCCTGATTGGAAAGGGCATGTCTGGATGGATACAGAAGGTTGGCTAGTGACGAATGTTTATATGCCTAGGTCTGGAAGTGAGTTTGGTGTTAAAGTAGGTGACAAGGGTGAGGCTCTGGGGAAAAGGGAATAAAATCCTCAAATTTGTGGGGGATTTGTTCTTTTTCTGCTACCAACTTAGAACAAAGGAGTTATAGATATGGCCTTGTACTTCAGCACTGGCCAGTGATTATGGCTTATCTGATGGTTACATAAATTTGCATCCTGCTTTTTATGGTGCACTTCTTGTACTGGTGTCATCTTTTGTCTGATGCTGGAGTGAAATCATCACAGGTAAAAATCGGAAAGATCCTTGTGCATTCAATAACCTATCAATCAATTAAATGACTGTATTTTTTTTTTTCTTTTTCAGAGGCATAGCATATATATCAGGTTTTCATATGAGATTCCACTGCTTAGTGACTGCAGAATTATGCTAGCTTATTACGTAGAATAGCAAGGGTAAGATTACACTGTTAATTCCCTCACCAAAAATCTCACATCTTAGCCCATATGTTTCTCAGGCTGTTCACATATTTTGGTTTGTTTCTTCTCTTTTCAACACCCTGTCACAGGTCAACTGGCATTCTTCCACACACCCACATTTTCTAATGTCAGTGTTTCCTATGATCAGTAACAGGAGTCACATAAAAGAACAGCACAGAACACTCTTTCAAAGGATGCTGTTGGTGAGGAATGTCTTAATTCAAAATCATACATTCAGATCTAGAAGAATTCAGACTGGCAATAAGGTTTGTACCAGCTAATGTGTTAAGGATAAATAAGTATGTCAAATAATACACAAATGTTTAAGCAAAAGTAAAATGACAACTTGTTCTGTAAATAAACATATTTCATTGCCAGTAAGGACCTGAGAGGTTCTAGTATGCTGCTTGCTGACCAGCAAATGTTGAATCACCTGGTTTATATAATTGTCATGATAGTTGTGTCCACCGTATGTTAAAGCTGCATTTCATAGATAAAAATGTCACATTGGATATAATTTCCAGTAAAGTTTGTGCTATCTACTGATCTAATTGCTTCTGAAAGTCTAACCATTGTATTCAAGGTCTTTCAAGAAAATTTACTGTACTGAAGGCAATGCAACCAATTCAGGAGTTGTGGATACCATAAGCAGACAATTTACTGGGAAGATAATTATTTTCTGAAGCAACTAGTTTTACAAGAACCCCTCCCTAGTCAGTGGTCCCAACTAAAATAGGCTGCTGGTTACCTGCCTTATGCTATGCCCTGTTTCCCCAGAAAAGCTACAGAAAGAGTCACTTTTTTTTTTTTTTTTTTTACATGCAGACTGATATTTACCTGAAGAAATGTCCAAAATTTCTAAGTATGTGCTAACTTATTGTGCCTCTGCTTCTCTGCATCAGCAACATTAAATAGGGCTGAAGGGATCTGAACCATGGCCCCAGTCTACACTTCCTGACCTATAGGGGCTATGCTGTAGCAGCAACCTGGATATTATAGAATCATAGAACAATTCATGCTGGAAAGGACATCAGAGGGTCTCTGGCCTGACTTCTTGCTCAAAGCAGAGTCAGCTATGAGGTCAGATCAGGTTCTTCAGGGCTTTATGCAGTCAGGTCTTGAATACCTCCAAGGAAGGAGAGTAAAAAATGACAGGTCTTCATGTGGTGCAACAAGACTGTTATATTGCTAGGTTTTTCCATCCTTATTCAGGGATGGTCTAAGATCCAATGTACTCCCAGAGGTAAAATAAAATAGCCAAGCGTGGGAAATATCTCTAACCTCTGAGCAAAGGCAGAAGAAGGAAATTCTCTGAGACTGCCCATGCTCAAGAAGAGGAAGGAAGGGAGGAAAGAGGTGGGACAAACAGATTCTATTTCTTGATGATTTTAGTTACATTTGTGATAGGAGACTGAGAGAGACCCACCAAAGAATAGCCAATAGCCTGGTAGTGTAAGTACACATTTGGTTTTGAGATACAAAATTTCAAATCCCAGATCTAAATCAGCAAAACAAGGAACCTCAATGCCTGTATTCCACTTCTGCAATGAGTTTCCTGATCATGACTACAAGTTATAGTGTGAGCAAGTGAGTGTCACAAATTTTTAAGGGAAGAACTCTAAAATATTTGGGGTTGTATTGCTTCCGGACCACAGATTTGAAACTTCAAACACCCATGGGATTGAAAAAACACTTCCTTCTTCTTCTTCTTCTCTAAATCTACTTGTTTTCCAGAGAATCCTCCAACCTGACTTTGAAAATTTCAAACTTTTTGTTTCTTGGTACAATTTAATTCCAGTATTAAATTCCACAGTTTTATTGCTGATTCTAAGAAAGAATTTTCCGTGTTCAAGAAGTTTCCAAATTCAAGAAGTTATACCGCTGCGTCTGATTTTTGGCTCATAATTCCTATTTCCTGATTAGAGTGTAAAGAGGAAAAATGGAACTTAATCTTAGTCCTCACAGTCCTTGAGGGAAAGCTATCTCTGGGTCAGGCTCACAGGGAAATTGCAGAACAAAGCACTATCCTTTCTACACCTACGTTTATAGCAGGGCTAGATCCAGAGGGAATATTTACGGCAGCACTTAATAGGTTTATCAAAGGTAGGACTTCAGCTGCATAAGCTGCAGGACCCTTCAGGGATGGGAAGATGATTGTTTTTACACTGATGGTCTTTGCCAGGGTGCTTATGACTGCTTTGCAGCTGCTTTGCACAGGCACAGTTGGTGTAAAATAGCCTTTGGCTACCTATGAATCAGTCCCCTACTCTCAGCAAAGACGGAAGGATTTTGTTCAGTGTCCTTAAATGGGATGAGTACATGTCAAACCATGGGAAGAAATCAGCTTTGAGTTAATTCTAACTGGCTTTTTGAGCAAGAAGGCACAGGGACTGTAAAGACAATTTAAAATTCTTGTTCTTTTTATTTTACTTTTTCGCTTGTACTATTCAGTTCTTTTTCTCTGCGGTTGCAATGTGCTTTACGTAAAAAAGAAATCTTGTTAGACAGAAGCTTCAGGTATTCCTAAATGAGTATGAGTTAGCTTTGGCTATATAACAGCAACTGCCCTGGTAAGAAAGCCACAGAGCAGGGGAGGGTGAGAAAGCAATGATTTTATATTTTTTTTTTGAAAATTTTAAATTGAGAAAAAAAGCCAGTTTCACGTTCATTCATTTCTCCTCTGTAAGATGTGCTTTGTGATGTAGCAGAGAAACTATGTGACTGTCCCTTTAAAAGCCATCATACCAATCAGCAGGTTTAACTGTCAAGCAAGCTGATGTAGGGCTCTTTGAATTACTGAGTGAGGGATATTCTTCCTGCCAGGTCCTGTCCCCCGTAGGCACTGCGGAGAAGTATTATAGGGCAGTCCTTACCTTGGGAATTAGCCTGCAAGACCCCAATGCTGTCATCAAACTGCATAGATTTGATGTTGAGTGACGCCAAGATGCATTCCTTGTCCTGCAGCGAAGCATCATCAATATTATTCTGATTGGCTGACAGGATAACGCACATGTCGCAGAGGTTGATGTTGACAGCCCTTAAATCAGCCCGACTTAATGGCGTACCCTTCGGCACAGAGAAAAAAAAGGGGGGAAGGGGGGGCAGGAGAGGAAAAAAAGACAAACAAATTAAAGATTGAGAAGGAGCTTTGGGAAATTATTTAACAAGTATCTTTTTTATGCTCTGACATTAAGCTGGTCTAACTATGTGCCAGGGAATAGGAGATGTGTGCTAATCTAAAGGGTAGTTGGTGCTGATGGCAGCATTTTAGGTTCAGTCTCAATACTCAGTCAAGCTATTACTAACAAACAAGAAACAGGAATAATGCCAGCATTCTACATCTCATCGGTGACTTGAAATTGTCTTGATTTAAGTTGCTATCATGTAGCAACCTCTGGCTCTCTGAATATAACGAGGGGTGTGTTTTAAATGTCTATTTATCTACTACCAAGTCACAATGGTCTTGGGCAAAAGAATGGCAATTTAAACAGGAAAGCATTATGTGTCCTACACATTTGAAATGCAATCAGGATAAAGCTGTTTTTTTCCACCTGAAGCAATACACAAAAAAGGTTAATCCTTTTCAATGCATGTTTTTGGTGCTTCTAGAAGGAAAACACACTCATCTTCAAAGTTGTGTGATTAAACCCTTTGAAACAGAAACGAGACTTTATCTTAATGGGCACAACTCATGCAACATTCCCGGCTTCCACAATTCTCAATCAGAGAATGCAATAATTAAAATGAAATGTTGTGGTAGCCCGCGGTTTTTTTTCATAGTTAAGACAACTGACACATGACACTTAACCCATTATGTTTTGTTTAAAGATAACACTTGCCTTTCACATCCAACAATCCACATCTCTAGTTACAGAATATTAAGTCTATGTCACAGGGCCTGCAAGATGCAGGAGAAGAAAGATTTTTTATGGAAACTAGATTCTGCTCTGCTGCCTCACATGGTTTGGTACCCAAAGACCCTAATGATGATGAGGAGACTAAGCTGTCCCCTTGTCACACAGTGACTTTCATAAAACCAAGTCAAGACCCTGCTCTTCCATCTTCTGATCACTCATGGTGAACGTCTCCTGAACTCCGCTGAGAATATTCAATGCAGAAGTGAATTTAAAATGCACAAAGTGAAGCCAGAGCTCAATTCTTATTCAGTGATTGCCACCTAGTCTCAGATACCAGTCTGACTATTCCATGTTACTTTCAATAATTTGAGGCACGAAACTGTGTGGAAAACAGTATATATCAAACAGATATGATTTAGTTATAAAGTACTCAAAAGTTAGGGTATGATTATTCCTGCCACCTTAATTCTGCTCTTTGTGTCTGTACTGTGCATCAAGTGAAGCAGGATTCCTGTGGGGAAAAATAATATGCAATCATGTAATTAATTAAAGGCTTACTCCTAATGATTTTATGCAAAGGGACAGAATTAAGGCTGCCTGAGGATATTTAAAATTGGCATTTGCCTACTTTTTAAGAGTTTACTCAGCAGCTTAAATGCCTCTTTCAATACAGACTTTAAATGAACTTCCACTTTTTTTTTTTTAAGACCAGAACAAACATTTTTGTATTCAGCTGTAACCACATCCCCATCAGATATCAGCAGCAAGTTTTACCTCGTGAACCAAAGCACAGAAAGTAGGAAATGAGTTTGAGTGACCTCCTTTTAACACATGATTCCTACCAGTACGGTCTCAGAAACTTTAGCAGACTTTTAAATTAGTATAATTAGATCAGAATAATGCTGTTATTTTTAACTTTATATCACCACTTTGAACAAGGTAGGCTGAAAAAAAAATAAAAGAAAAAGCAGTAATGAAGTCTGTATGGTCTTCAGCACCCTTGATTACTGTGTAAGATACCATTCCTTTACATATTCTGTATTTTTAAAGGTGCATTAACTAACTATTTAAGCTGTTTAAGATGAAATTAGTCCAAAACTACTCTAAATTTGGGTGCAAACTGATTGGGGAATGTAAAGGTGGTGTACATTTCCTTAATGCCTCTTCAGAATTCAGAATCAAAACTTTACAAATACACATTATAAAAACGGATACACACCATATACTGGATAGTTTGGAAGTAGTAGTTGGATTCTATTCTGCTCCACAGTTCAACAGTGTTATTAATTTAATTCTGATTCCTCAGTCTTTAGCCTTCACAGTGACTGGAATTAAAAGGGATTGGCAGGAAGAGGAGGATATTAACTCACCAAATCTGATATTGACACCATTTTTGTGACAACACAGAATCTTGTGACACCATCTGTTGGATCAGTTTACAGAAAAAAGCCAAGGGCTAAGAGTAAAACTGCATTTACAGTAACAAAGTCCTACAGCCTGAATTAATCAAAAAGTGAAGGCAGTCTTTCCATTCTATAGCTATTTGCTAAATTATTCAGTTTAGGTTACATCCATTGTTAATTTATTTATTTTTAATTGCTGAAATGTAATTATTAAGAACTGGTAAATTCATAATTTTTCATTCTGATAAAAACATCCAAACTAACTTTACTCTGTAACATACAGAGCATTCTCTCTCGTACTTATACCGTGGGCTTGTTTCCCTCCTGCCTACATCTTTGTGGGTCATTTATAGCCATGACTACCTCAGGTCACTAGCTTGGAGGGCTTCATTTGTTTGTCCTGGAGCTTGTGCTTCTGTATTTTGGGCACATGTGCAAATGAGAATGATATATAGGAGAAAAAGGACCTCTGAATTGTGGTTTTAGTGGCTGCCCCTACTAAAATCAATAGGAGCTTTTCATCGATTTCAAAAGGGTCAGGGTTTTGCTGTACTTCCATACATAAGTATGGCAGGACTCTGAACTGAAATGCTATGGCAGTGTTCCTTATAAAGTAGGCCAGCGTACAGGAAGTTTTTATGAATATAGATAGATACTATGTAGGTAGAGTAACAATAATTTTTTTTCAAAGGTTTTGTGGGTACAAATACATAAATAATGTCATAAATAACTACTGTCATTCTGTCAGGGAAATCACAACATCAGAGCTGGCTACATGCAGTGCATTACAGTGGATGTTTGATATATAACACAGCTAATACATTTGATAGCAGCTGAAATTCATCCGATGAGGATGATGAGGAACCAAACACTGTGGCAAATATCTTCTAATAAGGTCTCACAGGGCTCTGTTTTCATAGACAAAGTAAAGGGAAAAATCTAAGTCCTCAGGCCTATGAGTAGACAAAAGTAAAAAAGCCGAAGATCAAAGTCAATACGAGTCTGTCCAGCTGGTGTCCTAAATAACAAAGTATCAATAATATGGCTTTGGACTTACAGGCAAGATTGAAACCTTGGGGAAGTTATGCAGTGTCTCCCATTCCCTTCTCAGGTATTCAAGTGAACCCACAAACACAATGTGCTTGAGTTCATGGTAGTGAAAGTTGCTGGCTCGTAATGGCATCACTAAATTTCTTAATCCAATCAAAGCAGATTTAACATCCCCAAATATGCAAACGACTACATGCCCACTTAAAACTGTCATCGCTGCTTCACTTCGAGTCTAAAAAAAAAAAAACAAAACAAAAAGACAAGGGAGAAATGAAACAAAGGGAAGCTTAAATTAAATCATATATTGAGTTTTAAACCAGGAAAAACACAACTGTCAATATCGTTCATGCACAAAGAAGCAGTTTGATAATAGCTGTTCATTTTACCCTTATTTATCCTTCATTAAACGTACTCAGAAAAAGAAAAATTTCATTCTTGTTTGCAAATCCTTCAGTGTTCGGGAAGACATTGAACTGGACTGAATTCTGGTCCCGTGTATGTTTCTACACATGTGGATTAAGACTCTGGTTACAATCAAAGTACTATGGGTTTAGCTAAGAACAGAATTTGACCCACTATGCATTTAGCCATTAGAAGGATTATAGAAAAAGAGAAGCAAAACCATGCCTTAGCTGATGAATTGCTAGTGGTTTGGGTTTTTTTCAGGACCAATTTGAAAAGGAAAATGTAAGAGCCCAATGGCCTTTGTAGGGCTTTGTGGTATTACACATTATCTTGTGAACTGAGGACCATATTCTCTTAGAGTCAAAGTTCTTATTTTAGGACAAGCTGCTACTACCCTAAGAAGCAATCAAGGAATGTTTACACTGCTCTGCTTTACAATGGATGCCCACCATACTCCACAGAACTTCTCTCAGTAAGAAAAAACTAGTGTGCAAGATCGTGACTAATACTAACTTTTCAGGCGCACTGGGCTTCCTGAGTTGTTGAATAGATAGAAGGAAAAAAGTCTCATGGAGAACATTTGAATGATGTTCAGAATTATCTACTTGTCTCAGTGACAAGAATAAATTTTTGCACTAATTTCATCAGTGGTAATGTCAGTTGAGCAGGAAACTCAAATACCAAGATGATTAAATAAAGTCATTAGGAAAAAATGACCTTCATTTCTGGAGCCAGCCTTAGCATTATTGCACTCCATCAAGTAGCTGCAGATCCACTGATACCATATTGCCAAGAAGTTGTATACTCAGTACCATTACATAGAAGTTTTCCCAGTGAAAAAAATTAAGACAATGGTGAACTGCAAAATTTTCCCCTCATTTATCCATAGTACATGTCCTTTTTCCTAAATTATGGAAGCATGACAATGTGCAATACAGATTGGAATATGCAGCAGAGGTGTTCACTATGTAAGAAGAATGGGAACTCTGATTAGAAGTTTTCTCATCAGTTAAAAAATACATGAGCTTTCAATTTCTCTGGGGCAATTACACTGATTTTCATACAACTCTACCAAGAGAGTGGTCTTGGCCCTCCAAACAACAGAAGACATGAGTGAATGCTTAAGTGAAGCATGTAAGTTGTCCCATGCCTCTGCCTTTGGGTCTGGAATATTCAGATTTGACAAGACAGAGACCAAGTCTTGAAAGAAATTATGTAAAAAATGTCACTCTATAGTCATTGACCCATATGTAGCCACATACATTTGACTATATGTCAAAAAAAGTTCTTACTACCTGATACTGCTGGAATCTTGCAGAGCCAAAACAGACCTTGGGCAGAAAAATGAATTCTTTTCTGATTGAGGCATCATAAAGTATCAATTAGAAGACAACCTGGGAAATCCCATCCTCTTCAAATTATGTACTAATTTGTACTTGTGTGGCTTCTAAGGACAGCGTTAAATTTGCATGGATATGAATGTAGACATAAAATGTGGACTGTGAGTTTGAAAAGGTGTAAGGAAGCATTTTGCTGGCGGTGTCTTAATTGGTGATGATGCGTGAAGCAGAAAGAACCTGGCCAGACTTACAAATTCACAGGCTAGTAGGGGGAAAAATTGACATGGCATCACCAAGAGATGATAAACGAGGCACTCCACAGCACCATTTTTGGATAAACACTTTTCAAAGTGGGGCAACATGTAAAGCTTGTCAGCTAAAATGTGTTTAGAGCATGAAGGCAGATTTCTATCTCTGTTACAAAGTACTGTACAGCAGGGCTGCCCCTCCTTGCCTGCTGCATACATCTAAACACATACTATTTAAAACTGTTCAGCCAAACTCCGTCTCACATCTCAGTCTGTAGAATTTGGAATTTACTTGCTTGACTGTTTAAACACTGATATTGCAATTTCAGGCAATGTCACAGTTATTACAGAAACCCCTGAGGAGAAGTGGAGACAAGCTTTTAACCCCTGATCGCTAGAATAAACCGGGGCTGTCACCATTGCTGGCTACACCATGCCACAGTGCAGGAAAATCTAAGAAAGCAGGCTCAGGAAAAGCTTTATGAAGTGCGACAAAGTGAAGATCCACCAGGGAGTTCATTTCAAATATCATCAGTTTTGCGTATGAGATCTGGAGTTAGTTACTTGTTACTCTTAGGTATGAGTACATGAACACAAGTGGCACAAACTTTCACAGAGCAAAATAAACTGTGATAGGCCTTCTAATTATTTTTAATGACTTCAGTCAGTTTGATGGTTTCTCCAGTTAAACAAACAAAGCAAACATAGACTAGGCTCACTGCAACATGCTAGAAAGGCAGAGTAGTACTACTACTTACTCTGGCCTATCTGGGCATCTTGAAATGTTGGAAATAGAGAAGTTCTAAGAGAGCAAAATTCACATCAATAAATAAGAAATAATGCAAAAGAACACTTGCCTGTATTAGAATCATTACTGCCTTGTGTAAAGAGATAAATGGGGTATGTAAACATTTAAATATTTCCAATCTTAATTCTCTAGAGATTCCAACCAAATACGCAAATATCAGCTTATGAAAAGAAATTCTCCATTTTGAACAACTTTTTATTGTTGCACTCGGCATACAGATTTATATAATTAGACTTCTTTAACCACAATGTTAGCTTCAATTTCACCACGCTGTGTTTCTGATGTCAATATGCTGGATTTAATGATAGTAGAGATTAATTTATTAATCTATTAGACATCAGTTCTATGGTTCAAATAACCTCTTTTCAAACACAACTTATCATCAATACCTACCAAAATGACCTTTTCAATGTCCTTGGCTGGACACCAATGAAACATCCCTGTAGAGTCATATTTTTTCACATTGGCATCCATATTGTCAATCTGCTCATTGCCAGGAATTAACAAGGGGTCATGCCTGGGGAAAAACAAGTTGAGGACAACATAAGTGGAAAATATTATGAATTATGGATGGAAAGATATCCCAAGAGCTGTGTACAAAGAGGGATAAAAGTAAAAAAATGAAATGTATTTACACTTTAACATGCTTTCAACGTGGATACTTTTAAACAAAAGCTGAAAATAAAAAAAAGTTAATTTTAAAATTTTGGGTGCAGTTTCAAAGATTTTCTATATTCTTTCTGCACCAATAACCATTTCATTTTAAACAGGGCTTTCTGAAACCATCACATCCATAAAAGTTTTTTTTCTTTCCAGTCCCACCCCTCCAAAATAAATATCGGAGTTGCTATTAGCATCTGCAATGAAGTAGAAGGGATAGGCACAGAGCCCCATGCTGACTGACTGGCATAGGTATGGAAAGCCAATTACTTGCTTTTACCACATACAACTTCTGACGTGATGCTCTTCGCAGTAAAAGCTTTAACAGGCTGCACTTTAAATATTTTAGCAATTTGCCCAATCATATTTTGCTTTCCCAAACTGAAGCCCTTTAAAGATTCAACAGTATGTCATTTTAGAGCACACTGACTAACAAATGCCCACATCTGGAATACATGATTTTAATACCAAACAACAATGTCCATTTTCTCTGACAACTCTACCTGTGATAACCTTCTAAGTGTTTTTGCAGCAAGATTTTAAAGCACAAGGCTTCTCAAAGGAGAAGCAAGTAAAAGACATTTTTATAAACTTGCTCTTCAGCTATATAGTTACATCTAAGCACAGACACATACAGTTCTTTAATTTTATATGCTAAAATCAAACATTAAGCTAAGTACTAAGTGACTCCAACACTCTCTGATGCTAGTGATTGCATTATACAATAGCATTAGAAGGAGGACCATGTTTACAAGGCACAGGGTAAACTGACCCTAAAATCTTAAATTCAAGGAGGGAACAGAGCTTTGTCTGGAAAAACTACAGTCTTAAGGTTTTTGTCATGAATGCTTGAAATATCCCGATACAGAATTGTAACATTTCAAAGAAGAAAATATTTGCAATGTAGGAATATGCTAAGTACTCTAAGACAGGTGGCCAAATTTTAAAGCAGTTTGCCTTTTGAACCATGTTAAGGAAATGCCCATATTGGCTGAACTCTCAAAACTGGGAAGTTTACTGCTTTTAAAGCATATGAGCCAGCAGACTGTGGTAAGAACTTCTCTTCTGCGTTGTCTACTAAAGCAGACTTTGAACACTGTGTATGATGTAGGCTAATTTACCCCGAATCTAGTACGATAAGTTACCATGCTTAAAACAGTTATGCTTGCATACCTAAGAAAGGTATAATCTCTACTTATGTCAGGGTGATTCATTTGTGTAATTTTATAGCCACTGATTGTATATCCATTGAAATCAGTAGAAAATTTCCATTCATTTCACTCAAACAGGATCAACTCCACAGAAAGTGGCTTAAAAGAACTTGAGAAACTATCAATACAATGTTCCATTTAAACCAGAATCTTTTGATGCTTTAAGAAAAAGCAATGCACTACATGGCGAAGGCATAAGTCAGACTCAACTGGAAAAACAGACACTATGTTTTCAAAGTTTTTTACATTCACTCAACAGAAATACAGTTCAGTGCATTTCACTATCAACCCACTGGCAGCAGAGTCTCTAGGGGACTGACTACCTGGAGTCTCTGACCTTACTCCAGGTTTAATAATGAAAGGCCTTGCATAAGTGTGCTCTCTCTTTTGTGGGAAGCAGAGGTGACTTCTTTGTGCAAAAGCTGTACCTAAGGGTTTTGTTGTGGGGTTTTGGTTGGGTTTTTGTTTTTTGGTTTTTTTGGGTGGGGGTTTTTTTCATTTCTAGAAAAATATATAGACTCTGCATTCTCTTACTCCATCCATAAGCAAGCTGCAGCCGTGGTAGTTTTGGCTGAGAGCTAACTGTGATGCTGTTCATAGGGCATTCCTTGCTGCTCACAGCTGTATGTGGTACAGTAAGGTCTGCAACCATGGATACAATTCCATTTGAAGGTTGTACTAATGTTCAGACAACATTTAGTGGTACTCTGATGGAATGTGTTAGCTATGTATTTCAAAATAAGAAAGCTTGCCAAAAGGTTAGGACTCTTCAGCAGCTTCCACTGAGAAATGTTTTTCTTTCTGTTGCTTTTGTGGTTTTGGGTTTTTTTTCCCCAAAGTATCACAAGACATTTCTCCACGAGCTTTGCTAGCAGAGCACTGAAACAAAAACAAAGTTCACCAATCAAACCACCTTCTTTTCCTTTCAGAAATCAGATGCATATAGGAAGGCATTTTCTTTTTCCTTTTCCCTTCATCAGAGAAACTATAATAAATCAATTTGTAAAAAAAATGCCACACTAATTTTCTAAACAGGCTTTTTTTCTGCTCTGAGACTTAAAACTAAATGGATCATTTGAAGCTTTCACACAAATGAGTATTTAGCAATACTCTAATCTCAGTCACAGAAATGATACAAATTAAAAGCAATCTTATAACAAAGCAGGTGATAACAGATACCTGACATTAAATTATAGTCAACTGCTTTGAGATCTGAGGCAGTTTTTAGTGTGTGAGTGCTTAAAGCCTAGCTTAGTTCTCTTTTGGGTAAGGGCCTTGCATCCTAAAAGGGAATAATATTCAAAGTAGCTTGTGCTAAAGATTTATTAGAAATTTATCTCAATACTATATTATCTAGTTATCTTGGGTTTAAACAGAAGTGTGCTATGGAAGGGACCAAGAATGTGAATCACCGGATATAACTCCCTAATGAAGTTTTAGGTCACAAATCGTGATTTTGTTTGAGATTTTTTAAATTTTTTTTTTTTAATCAATACACGCACTTATTTGCAATATGATAAACTGTTTGGATTCTCTGCTTCACTGCTTGGAGTACAGCAAGTGGGAGCTTCTTAAAAGACGCAAACAGGATGGGACACACAACAAGAAAGTATGCTAATAGATACTATTATACTACTTTTACTCTAGGAGAATGGATTATTGCCTGAGAAGGAAACCGTGATAAGACTACCCACGCTTTGTTTTTCAGAATCTGTGGTTTATTTACATATAAGTGAGTTTATTAAATTTAAAACTTCTGGGCTAAGTTATTACTTTAATCTCTCTTTAATCAATGAATTTTCATTCTCAGTAAAGTGATCCCTGAAGATGTCTATGAAGGTTGAAAACTGTTTACTACTAAAGTCCAACTTTGTCCTCAGATGTTAAAAGATACACTGGCTTGTGTACTTAAAAAACGAATTGATCTTTGGACTTTTTTTATTTAAAAAAATGTGGTCGTTTGATGAAGTGATACCGTAATAGTATTAGTACTTTGGACATACACGCTCCAGTTAATCTGATGATCTAAACCTGTTTTGCAAATACTAAAAATTAATTAAGACAGACACACAGAGGCCAAGGCTGTCAAATCTGCCTAAGGGGTTTGGACACCCTCTTCCCATTAAAATTTATATTACACAAAGCATTACAGTTGTTGCCCTTACAGCCAAATCATGGACTGAATGTTCCTGGAGCCTCTCTGCCCCCCTCACCCTTGAAGATGGCCCTGTCAAGCCATGCTTGAGTCACGTTGGCAGGTTACTGTGGAAATGCTTGTATTTGTGCTGCAGCTGTTATGTTCTCCAGGGCTGTAAAGTCATTTGCTTGAAAAATGCAAATTATAGGAAGAAGACCATGCCATAGTGTTTGTTTTAATTGAGATGCTGGCTTTTATGGCTTGCAATGACCAAAGACAGGCATGTATAGCATGCATGGGAGAAAAGGAGCAAAAGTTAAATTTCCCTCATCCATAACCCCAGTTTAAAAATAGCTTCTCTGGTTCTTATGGCAGATATTACATACGCATGACTTAAAATGAAGAGCAAAATACTATCTTTTCAAGGTTTTGAAGAGCATATAATGCCACTTATGATCAATTAAACTTGAAAACGATGCTAAATGCCATGCTACAGCTACAGCGCCAAAAAGCCTGCGTGGAAGACAACAGCCTAAAGCAAAACCATAAACCCCACTTCCAGCAAACCTATTGCGAGGAAGTCAACATTACATTTTAAAGAGCATTGCTTTCCTAGCACACATAACTCCTGCAAACTGATTTACTTGGAGTTTTTGAATCTGGAACTTCTGAGTAATGACTGAGGATGGGCAGAACTGAAAAGACCATTCAGGGCCAAATGGCTGCCTCATTAAATGACTATTGTTTAGCATACCCTTGTATGCTGTCACTTTTGTCTTAACCCTCTTGCTATCACTCATATGCAATTGAGCATTAGAGCAACTTACCCTCATTGATCTGCAGTGGAACTGCTCTGTATGTTGAGCACTGGGAACAAGAATACTGTATGACCAGTAGGGACCCTGGTGTCATTTGAAAATAAACTGTAATCTGTTAGTCTTTGCACATGAGTAAAACAATGTCTTGGCTACTTTTTATTCTGCCCTCCAATAAAATTCTCCTTATATAAAATCAATGGCAAAACACCCCCGGGAACAACACCACTCCTCTTTAACCTGTGTTTGTTAAAGTCTGCAATTATGCCTTTCTCAGGTAGCTTTTGCCCACAAAAAGATGTTTAGCAGTCTCCTGCTCAAGATTCAGGGTCCTGAAAGTCACCTTGTGTGTGGTCCAGGAATTTTGAGCTTTCCTACCTAACTTTGTATGTGGATGTGTGTTTGCGAGTGCATGTACTTCATTTTAGGAGGAAGGAGTGTGTTTGCTGAAGGTAGGATAGTAATTGAAGACACACTAGAGAATGTCTCATGCCTTTGAAATTTCTCCTACAACTACCCTAACAAATTGTGGCAATTAACATGCTGTTAGTGTTAGACGTATGCAGCCAGTGCAGGTGCTAATAATTGAAAAAGCATTTAGAGCTTTTACACCCTGGCTGAATATTTCATGATGTGCTGCATGTTTCACTATTTACTCAGTGGGCCTCTGTCACTTCAATCTTCTCTGACTGCT